GGCACAATAATTTATACTTTATTACCTCAGAAATGTCTAGTCATACCTTAATGTAAAACATTTTTGTTTCCTTCATGGCAAGTGTCCAGAAATCTTGGACTCTCCTTATTTGCTTGCCTGTCATTCTGTTAAATATACCACTGAAAGCGTTTGTCATATCTTTTAATAAGTGCAAAAAATACCTGTTGATCCTTCTAGAAATCTTGTGAGCTGATAACTTCCTGCGCTCACTGTTATCGGTTAGCACTGTTCCCAGCTCTCTAAGGACGAGAGAAAACCCCCCTCATATTTTGGGGCATGGTGCAGAAGGGGGTAGGTATATTTTAGTCTGAAAAGCCTTCTTGCCCTTGAGTGGCAATGCTGCTCCTCCATAGATTTAGTACAGTAAGTGAGTGTTGTCACCGTACAGCAGTTAGTGTTTTATAGATAGGGTCGCCATGTGAAAAGAAAAACAAAATAGCCAGAAAAAAAGAAAACCAATACAACCACATCATCTAAGGACTAGTAAACTTTAAAGCTTTAATATATTACAGCATTGGGTTTAGATCAGGGCTGGCCAAATCTCAAGAGCCAGGTAACTAATGGTATTTAAAAATTATAGCTGACTGTTACGGAAGAAAAAAATCTTACTGGTTCCTGGATTGGACAGACTGGCTCCTGAATTCCATATTCATTTCTCCACCCCTGATTTAGATACTCCTGCAAGGCTATTCTGGTAGCTGACTCTCTAGGTAGTAAAGCAATGGGTGCAGATGATAATGAAGAATGTCAGCTCCCATATTCCTGTTATCACAGGTTTATCTTAAGACCTGAATTCTGAGCTTTAGGGCTTTCTCCAGGGTATGTGACCATATGTGCAGGCTCCTTTGTGCACCTTCCTACCTGTAGTTTAGAATAATTGTAGTGCAAACCATATATAATGCTCCTAAGTCTAAGGTGAAATCTCAATATGATTGCACTTAACCACCCATAAATGTTAGTAATGAGGCAAGGGTTATTGTGTATAATAAGAGTGTGCTGCAAGTAGGGGAACCCCTTTATTTTAGTAGACAGAACTGTATTAACAGGGACACACTGTTCATTTGGGTTAGAAAACCCTTTAAAATAACCCTTTCAAGTTCTGCATGTTGCAGTTTCTCTGCGCAAGCCTCAGGCAACTGTGCTGCTTAAGCCCTCCAGATGTCTCTGATCTGAAAGTAACGTGACAGAAATTTCGGTTTGTGTAAACCATCGAGGTGGGTATTGGGACAACAGCTGCTTTGTGACTAGTCTAGTTTTTCACAAAGGGTGATTTTAGATGAAACAATTTGAATAAATGAACTATTTTTCCTGTGCTAACAAAGACGGGATTTTCCCAGGTCCTCAGTGCTTTGTGTCTGGCTTTGTTTAGTATATGTGAAAATAAGAAACCTATTTTCCGGGGAGTCGCCATTTGAAATCTTCTGGTTGGAATTTGTTTAATGTGCAAATAATTGGTTTTCTTGCGATTTAAACAGGGTTTGCAAATGCTTAATAATCACAGCATGCTCAAAGCAATACAGTTTGAACATTTTTAAAGTGCTTTGTGATGATCACTTGGTAGAAAAACGGCAATATTCTTCATTTACTTTGAGGATATTATTGATCACTATTGCAGCACAAGATCCAAGCATTGCCTGGATCTTGATGGCAATGTGTGTGTTTTACAGTTATGAGTGATATGAGCATGCATGGCGCCACAACCAGTACTATTAGCTCAGAGACATTAAAAAGAGAGGGAAGTTAGTATTCTATGTTCAGAAAAGGTGGAAACTGTACATATTGGTCAACCTCCAAGGCAGAACAATAGAAATGTGAGCTTGTGCTTTTTATTTATCTTAGGGGCTTGTATGATAAGAGCCATGCAAGATGAGTCCTGTCAGTTTTGCATATGTTAATTATGAGTTGAAACTGCAGAATTACTTTGACTTGAGTGACCTCTTCTTTTGGAGTTCTTAAAGAGGACCTTTACCCATATCTTCAAAATAACAACAAAGGCACCTTTAGAGATGTTTAGTAATGACAATCTACAAACACTTATAGAGAATTGCCGGCTTTTTATTCTTTGAATACCGTATTTTTCTTTCCTTCTCCCTTCTCACAGTGGCCATTTTTACTAAGGGCAGGTTACCAGATCTCTATTTACTTCCTGGAACTCTGGCACATGTAACTAGGACATGTGACCACGGACATCATCTCAGGGGAGGAGAATGCCTTTCCCTGAGATCTCATGAGATTACAGATTAGATTTTCCAGCAATGCTGTAACCTTCCCAGGATGCAACGCTTGGGCATGATTACATCATTTGTGCCAAAGTGGACCAGGAAGTGGGGAAAAAAAGAAATTGTAAGTAAAAGAAAAAATATGTTTAGCTAATGAATATGATGATTTCAAATCAGCATGCAGAGCTGTATGCTGATGTGATTTTTAGTCAAAGGGGTAAAGATCCTCTTTAAGTCTGCTTTATCTTCATTGACGTTTTAGGGGCATGTTGGATGGTGACACATTGCCAGTGGCAGATTCACCCAAGGGACGGAGCCACTTATTATAATGGAGTTGTTTCCGCGCTGGTCCGAACACTGCAGAATCTCATTCGCTAATGAGAGTAACATCTCACTGGTTTGACCAGTGATGAAACAACTCCTTGGGGAAAGATAAGTGGTCTTAGCGATTCTGTTGTCATTAGGTTGTCAGCATTGACAGGTTTGCTCATCTCACATTAGCCTTACACTTCATGCTGTGGTGCTTTATTTCTCTGTAGTATGAAGTGCCTTATTTTCAAAATAATTTTTGTTTTTGAAATGTTTTTTATTTTTATTTGTACTTCCTCTGGGCTTTTATTCTGGCTAAAAAACATTGGGTAATAACCGAAAGAGTGACTGACTGTCATTTTGAAGTATGCAAAAGCAATACAGTTAAGTGTTCCGTCAAAGGTAGTGATGCGAGTAGATGATGCAATGCATGTGTGATCTGTTGGTAGCAGGCATTACAATGGAAAGGAAGTTGGCATTTTTAATTCAATCTCAACTCTGTCATATTGATGTTGGCCTGATTATTGATTGCAACATCTTTTGCACATATTTTCAAATCAGACATTGTTGTATTGTGTAGACTTCTACTGCATCAGTTTACCGCATGTAAGCTTGTAAAATGAGTGCAGTGAGGCTTACCCAGCAAAACAGCGCTCTTTTGTTTTATCCTTGTGGAATGAGGCCAGATAAATGTAATATGGCATGACAAATTTCCTGTATCCTGTTATCTCATTTAAAAAAAAAAAAATCTCATGAGAAGACTGAATGCATTTTTCTCTTGAAATGATGATGTATAAGGCATGTATAGACTCTAAGTTACAGCTGAACTCTAGCCGTACTACTAAATTGTTAGTCTGTATGCAGTGCTTTGTGTTGAATAGCATCCCGTCACTTCTTTGTTGTTTTCCTTTGTTGAATTGCAGTGGCAGGCACTAAGCTTTCAGCCTGCATGACACCCAGAGTTACATAAACCCCGGTCTGTCCCCGGGAGACATGCGGACTATAGGGGCCTGCTGCCATCACAGCGCCAATGGTCATTACTGGAGCGTTCTATATGGTAATAACCAATGAGTATCCCGCCACACTCCTTCTGGAAACCCCTTGTGAAGAGGGTGCTGAAATGACTGCGGTTGGCGCTGCTAGCATCAGTGAGAAAGCAGAATGTCACCAGCACATTGGAAAAACTGATCAAATGAACGTCTTCTGTATTGACGTATGTTGTCACATTGATGGCAACGTTTCGGGGCCACGCAGGGTCCCCTTCATGGCAAAGCTAGCTGTCTGATGCCAGAGGTTGTGAGCATTTAAATCTCTGTGTGTCTGTAATTAAACATTGTGTAAATATGTACAGACCATGGGAATCGGTGTGTATTTAGATGTTGTGCAGCTTTAAATTTGTATTCCGGTCAGGTACAAAATAATTGAATCAATGCAGTTCTGTATTTATTGTACATCACAATTTTTTAAAATAGAAGCTGTGTAAGTACCTAGATTTGATCTAATATCAGCCTTTGGCAGTTCCCTGTAAAGCAGAGATCAGACTGGAAGATGAAGCACAAGGAGCTCATAAGCAGTGCTGCAATGCAAAGAGCACTCTAGCAGCAGGAGACAGCAAAGTGACATAAATATGAGCTTACCAGTCTGCTGCTTCTCCTTTTCACTGTCCAGTTACAGGGTTGGGTGGGGAAGTGACCTGTAAACAAAAGGGAAACTATAGAAGAGAAATATTGGGTGCTTCTGCCAGACAGGACTGCAGTTTGTGGCAGAGTGTAAATCTTAGGATTGGATGGACAGAAGTACTCTTCGAACTTTGATATATGTATTTAGTCTGTGTATTTAGTTTGCCTGGAGTTCGGGTTTAAGGCCCATTGGCATCCATTTTTTTTAGCGGATGCTAACGCAAGGACATCTGAAAATAACAGGTTCTGAATGGGAGCAGTTCACACATCAGTCTCTTGCGTTGCATTGCGCTGCCCTGCACTGAAGAAAAAAGCAGATCAAGCACTATTTATTTCAAGGCAACTGACTGCTGTGAACTGCTAACGCATGTCACCGGAAGGCAGGATCAATATATTATATAGCTTTGTGTAAAAAAAAAAACAAAAGAGAAAAAAAAAAACGCAACAGATGTCAACGGTTCTATGCACACTCAAGTCAACGTACCTCTGACTCACGTTCTTAAAATTAGACTACAGAATTGCATGCAGAGCTTGTGTGTGTTTGCATTTACAGAAATGTTGGCACATTCTGACATGACAAACAGCATAAACATGGAGCTTGTCACAGAGTTTAAATATTATATTACACATTAATAAAACGCAAGGATTTTTGACATTGTGTTTGCTGATATTCCATATAGAATGTTAAGACAAGTAAATAGAATTCTTGCCGAGAAGGAAATGGCTGAGTGTAAAATATAAACATGTCATTTTATTTTATTGTTTGCAGGTGGTGGATGCAAACATCTGTCGATGAATGATTATTTCAACCATGATGGCCGACCAGCCTCCTCCATTGGAAGCCACAGCTTTACTGAATGACGTACCACTCGTACCACACCTGGTAAATGGCGATAGCACCCAACAGGTAAACTGCACCTTTTGGTCTCTGGTGTAGAGCTTCATAGTTGGATTAAACTCCATGTGTAGTGTCAGAAAAGCTATAGCAAAAGTTGGATTTTAATGGTAATGTCAGGAGCTTATAAGAACTGAACATTTTTTAAACACAACTATTAAATTGTATATGTCCATCAAAAAGGGGTTACTTGCTTTTAAGTGCAGCCTGATGGTGGCTTCTCCATAGTTTGTTCACAAACTGATGTTTCAAGATCCCACCATGGCTGGTCTGCTAAATTTAGGTATTTGGCTTAGTGATCTCTGCTGAGGGTGACCAGGTTGCCCAATTCACTCATTCTAGAAATTGCATTTGGTCACATGGCTAAATACTATAGATCTGGAGCAGTTGTATTTGTACCTTCTATTAATCTCAGAGAGCTTGGCATGCCTGTATGTTGGAGAGTTGAATGTGATGATCAAAATTAGGAGCCAGTCACTCACTCACTTCTAACGGTTAACAGGTTGGTTCCCTTTACAGCTTGACCAAATAGTCACTGCATTATAATGGTGTCGTGAGTCGGCGCAGGAAACTTTGTGCCTCCAGCTGTGGTTTAACCACAAATCTCAACATTCATCTGGGAGTCATGCTTTTAACTGTCAGTCTTGCAATGCCTCATAGGACTTGTAGTTTCACAACTGCTGGAGGGCCGGAGTTGCCCAACCCTGCTCTAAGTATTTCACACAGGCGGTCCTATCATATAAGACAGTTTTCAGGCAGACCTGATTGGAAGCGCAATGTTAGACATGCATCCATTTACATCTGCCCGCCCATAGACTATTTATCTGATTACCTCTGGGTTCATCTAGGTCGAGAGACAAAAAAACAACCTGGACATGACAGATCAGGGGTAAAAGGATGTAAATGGACACATGTCCGTTTAGGTCCGCTTCCATTGGTCAATTTAGTTCTGTATCCATTTCATACTGCGCCAATCAGCAAGGGATCTGTTCACGCATCTCCTGCTAGTCAGAGTGGACTGGTGCCTGTGTGAAAGGGGACTTAGTTGTGTTAAAGTAGTATTACACTAAGACCCCCCTCCCCCCCCCCGGATACAATTTGTCAAAATTGCCCAGTAAAGCATTATATATTTGTGCCCAAATACATAGTTATTATGTTTCCAAACAGCTGCCTCCAACTCTCGTAGCTCGGATACTCTGAACTTTCTGTCCAGTTCAAGATCACAAGGGATAGAGCAGTCTCAAGCAGCCGTCCATCTAGTAGCTTGGTGAAGGGAGGAAGGAGGTGCAGGGAAGTGGCTTGGCTTGCTATTCCTGTGTGTTTGTGGAAACATGCACAGCTTACTAGCGCACACAAGAGTGGCTCCATAGGACTCTGAAAGGAGCCACCCTAAAAATGGATATCCCAGTCAGTGCTTAGGGGACCAGCTGATTCTGCAGGAAACTTTTTTTTTTTTTTTTCCAGCAGCATCCATTGTAAGTGATTTCATCAGCATTTGCAATAACTTCAAAAACCTTTTGACTTTAATATCACTTTAAATTGGTCAACATTGTTATAAAATGTGTATAAAAGTTAGCCGATATCAGATAATACTGTGGAATTTTAGCTACCATTGGCAAATGGGTTTAGTGGTATAAAATATATTTGTTCTTGTGATCTGCAGAATCATATTCTATCACACCTGAAGCAGTTTGCTGAGGTCCAGATGAAATCAAACGTTGTTGTTCCAGTTGAGGTTGGCTCAGTGTTTTATGAACCGTTATCACTTCCTTCCACTTCACTGGTTAGTGGTAGTTTAGTTTTCTAACAGTCACTGTAGCACAACCATCCGTAGTGTCACAGGCCTTAAGTGGTTTTGGTTTAAAGTAATTCTTAGAAGTGCAATACTGGAGTGAGGACAGAAACCAAGATCATGTGGCAGAATTAGCAGCCATATATTCTTGAGTTAGTCTGATGTGTCCCATCATGTATAGCACAAACTATTATTGCTTATATACTGAAAGAAGAAACTTGTACAAGGACGTTTAGTGCTGCCTTTTATTACATACAGTCAATTTCTCTATCGCACATAAATAGCTTTAGTTACAGTTTACAAGTGTGAGCCACACCAGTTACTGGCACCAAGCAAATAGCCTCTAGCATTCAGAAATTGGATCTTAAATGATCTGATCCATCTTGATCTTTTAAGCCACATTAATGAAGAAGACTGATTTTTTTTTTAGGGTTGACTTGTCATATGAAAGGCCTATGTGATCTTATATAGAGCTATTTACAAAAAGCGTATTGCTCCTTTTACAGGCATAGTTTCATAATTTATGTTCATACTGTTCTTCAAGCATGGTGTTCCTCCAAGTGTCGTTTGATTTATTGAGAATAATATACTCGCTGCAAACATTCACAATGCACCTGGTAGACTGAGACCATGACATCTTTGCCTAGAATGGAAGTGATCTTACGGAGATCAGAGCAGTTTTTTGGCAAGAAAGGGGCATCGTTTTTATTTTTACTTGTAATATTAATGATGTTGCTTAGAAATGAGATTTGACGTTCACTGATTGGTCCAATTTTATGTACCTATTGGGCCTCTTTCTTTAGCCACCATTCAGGGCTACCTGTATTCTTTGCAGATCCACGAAATTCAGCATCTCTTGCAGTTCCACTAAAATACCATCTTTATCCTCTGCCACAGATTAGAGCAATAGGTACAGTGCTTCTGCATTGCAAAATGATACACATTCTTTCTTAGCCTTCAGTGTGAATAGCACAGTGATGCATTTGACACTTTTGCCTATAGCAAGAATGAAGATGAAAATGGATGGTGTGCAATACATCTTTTAGTAACTTGTGTTCGCGGAGGAAAAGGTGATCTGTCCACCATGGATGCGGCAAAGTTTGTACCAGTGGCTGAGCTATTTAACCTCTTTATCTAGCCTCATCCCAACTACTAGTCATACAGGGAACAGTTTACAGAAGTCTCAGGAGAGAAGCAGTGTATATAGATTGATTTTGTATGTAAATGTATTTTTGCCTCAAAACAAATTGATCAAAAATGGATTTGGCACAAATAAATTAAAATAATGCTAAGGTGAGATCAGTTACTGTATTCTGTCCTGTAACCAATAAATGTTTTCTGGCCCATTCGTTTCACAAGGAGGGACCCTTATGCACCATTTTCCTATTTCCTTATCATCCCCTTTACCCTTGTGCATGCCAACTATTTCCACTCGATTTGACCTGCATTCTTCCCTTCTTCCAATCTGAAATGCAATCCCTCTGCCTGCTGCTTCTACAGATACTTGATCTTGCAATGGTAGAGGGAGGGAGTGTAGAAGGAAAGAGATGTAGGATAAAGTGAAATCCAAGCATCCTACCTGCTCTCTTTCCAAGTTTTCAATCTCCTCCAAACCCACAGTCACTTTGTCTCTATTTGAGACCCAGTAATGATATCATCATCTGCTGCTCTTGCAAGTTTTTGTGGTAGGGGACAGCAGGCTCCTGTAAACGTCACAGCATTTTGCCTCAGGCTGAACACATCCCCGTGATAAATTTAAATGTATATGCTTCTACCTGCTGGCCAATGGGTGCTGTAGACTATAGCTCTGCAGTTTGCTGATCGGTTGACTGGTTGCAGGAATGTCTAAAGGGATGCCGGGGATGTGTTCTTTAACCTAGAGCTCGGAAACTAAATAATTGATGGCAAAGAAAGGAATGGCTGTAAGAGGGGATCTAATAACATTACCGATCAGAGAGAAGTGATTGATGAATGACAGAGGCCAAACAGGAAATAAAGGTGTGCTCAAGATAGCTTCTGCAGCTTCAAAGGGCTATATTATGGAGCTGCAAGTTTGCAGGAAATGCAGAGTATTTAGGTGTGACACAAGAGATGACTTGCTTCAAGTGGGGCAATAAAAAGTAAGGCTAGAGTCCAGTTTTAAGCAGCTGAGCTAAACGGGGAAAAAATATGCTGAGGAGGTGGTAGGAAACAAAACTGGTATTCAAGCAAACAGGCAATTCCACCACTTGACAGACCAGGAAAGATGAGTGATCCTCTTCAATAACTTTATTTGTATCCTCTTGTGTGTGCAGCACATGGCATAGTTCTGGCAATCAATTGAGCCTCAGCACAAAAACATACATATTAATCTGCTAACTAATGCAGTACTGGCTCACTCAGGGTAGGATGAGTACAGTTCACCCGATGTTCTGTCTATTTAGAACTCTAGCAGTCACAGACCTTCATGTGCTTAGATTGGCTACAATTTTGTTTATCTACAGAAGGTGCATCTATATTTTTTGCTTAGAGGTAAATTTTAGCGTTTCACTTTAAGAGGATGAGTCAGCTTGCCCAACACAAAGTGTAATATGGCACCCATAGCTGGAGACTAAACAGCATTTTCACACTGCTTGTATTGGCTTTCCCGATTTTCCATGACTTCACGCTGCTAACTACATGTGGGTAGCGGCAGCCAGGAACAATGCCATAAATCTCCCAGTAACATGGCTGGAATTTCTAATTCTCCTCCTGACTCTTCCATTCTTCCTGGTCACAATTTATAAAGCTGGGACGGCTGATTGTACTAGCAAGTCTGAAATGAATTTCCACGCAAATAAACTTCACTTTGGCAGCCTGAATGGACAAATTACCTCTCTGCAACTGTGAAACAGATGTTTTCTTGTTTTTAAAGCCTTCAGTTGCGCAACATTGCAGCTGAAATAAGCTTCTAATTGTTGAGCGTTTCTCTGAAATACCCGCCAGTGACAGGCTGGCCACACTCGGAAAGCAGCAGCAGCTGTGCAAAGTAGAATTTATTGTTTATTTAAAGAGGATCGTATCTCCAGTTTTAAAGGCACAAGATCCTTTTGGCACATCACAAAATAAAAAAGTTTAACTGACAGTCAATTCTGTGAAATCTAGTGACCTGACACGTAACATAACCCATCAGGCCCGCCTATTAAAGGAAACCTGCACTGCAAGAAATGTGTAGGCTGCTTTTGCTGACCACCTTTGGAAAATATTACAGTTGAAACCGTTCATGAACCGCTGAGAATTACTCGAATTTCTGCATGGATTGCACTTGAAATGTGGCCTGATCTTCATCTACGTCAGATTAATAAACTCACTGTTCTAATAATACACAAACTGTACTTTCATTTTTTATTGAACACATTGTTCAAATATTTACAGCGTAGGCTGAAAACATAGTATGTAAACCTTTACATTTAGTTACTAGTGGGAGCTTCTTTAACAGCAATAATCTCCAAATGTTTTCTACAGTTCCTGAGTAGACTTGTACAATGATTTGACTGTTTCTTGTTAGTTTTGGGATTTTTCACATGAGTTATCTTCAGGTCATGCTGTAGCTTTCTGATTGGGTGTAAGGCTGGGTTCTTACATTTTGAGTCATTGACTTGTTTCATAACTCTAGTTTTAATTGTTTCACTGGAACCAATAATTGGTGAAATAGTTAATTGGAACTACCCTGAACTTCTTCTCTTTTTTTTTTTTTAAATTCATGTAGGTTTTTGTTTGTTTTTTGAGTGTTTAAACTCATATCAGGGTTTTTTGTCTGTCACTGTAAAATATTTTCCTTTTACTTCCTCTCCTGGAAATGCAACTGGAAGTTACAGAAACACCAAAATGAGAATTCCCATGTTGTCATTGGAACATTTTTGCCCATTGGAAGATTTCCCCTCTATTTGTGGCAACTCTAAAATTTTGGATTTCCCCTAATTTTTGATCACCATGATGATGGGCATCAGAACAAATAGAAGGGAGAATCTCTGCAGTGAGGACAGCAATAAAAACCTGTCAGTTGCTAATCCTGTCCCACTCTATACTAAACTGAAAAAATTGTCTGTATGGACATTTTATTGTGTTTTTCTTAACTAGCTGCCTCCGACTACGATGCTTCCTACATCCATGCTTTATGGTTTGAATGAAGTGTTGTGGTGTTTTTTCATGCTAACACTGGGTTTGCATGTTCTTTCCAAAGACGTAAACTTTTGTCTTGTACTTCCACATAAATTATCCCAGAAATATTGTGGGGCATCCAGATGGTCGTTTACAACTTTGGGCATGCCAGACAATTAGAATTTGACAATGACAACCTTTTGTATTTCTCTAATAACAGGTTTCTTTTAAATTAGACATATCATTTAAAGCCCAACTGCAACCAGAATGTCTTTTTATTTTAGTTAAAGCCAAAAAGGGTTATAAAGTCTTTAAAGTAGTTTTTTGGGAAACCGGTAACATCAGGACAAGTCTCTTTTTTTTATTGATGAGGTTTCCTATCACTGTCCCTGTGACAACCTGTTCTTGGAACATCTGTACTTTGGGGACACAGCAGTTAAAAACGTAACAGAGGTTCTATTCTGCAAATGAACATTACCAAATAAAAATTCTTGAGGTAAAGCTACTTTCTAGTGATGAATACAAATATGCTGCGGCCAGATCAATTTTGTTACTTCCAGCCTATGCAGAGAGAATGGGGCCTCTGACTACCAGGTGCATTGTAGGTGTTCGACATTATTAGAGACTACCAAGAGCCCTTTGTTTGAAATCTGGTAGGTGAGATGAGAAGATAGACAGGCAGCAAAGATATGGCTGCCCTCATGCACATGTATATTTGCAAACTATATAATAGTACTCCACTGACTGGTCGGATAGCGAACTGTTGAAAATGTTATTCTGTAGTAGCTTCATCCATTATGCTAGGGTGTCTTAAGATGAAGTATGCGCTGAGGAGATCTGTGGAGGGTTTGATGGTGGCAGTACGTGCAGGGGAAGAGTGCAGAGGATATGAGTGCTGTTACTCTGGCAGGGTATGTGGTCTTTTTGCTGTGGTTGATCATGTTCTATAACTGAGTGTGTGGGCTTTTTGTGTGCTGAGACTTCTATTACACAATTTCTTTTTTTATTTATTTACTTTGGGTATCTATCTACAAACATAGTTGCCCATTTTGCTTCTGCTCCAGAGCACATTTCACTATTTACTATTCTTTGACAGTCTCATCCTTACTGGCATCACCTAAACAGCTGGCATGTTTTCCATGCCATGATCAACAACAGTAGACCTGGTTCCTTTTACTTAGCTTATAAGCACCTTTTGAGGTTTAGCCCCAATCAATAAAAAACAAATCTTCCTGTCCATCTACTGTCCATTTTGATCTGCTAGTTCACTTTGATGGACTTCTCTACTCCTTTAGGGCCCCTGTGCAGTTGCCCATGTTGTATGGCCACCTCTAAAAAAAGAGGATCGCAGAAGACCAGGTGCTATTTAGTCTACACAAGGCTGTCAGGAAACATGAACATCTTATTTTTTACTGCAAAACTGTTAAAGGAAGCTAGGGTATTATTTTGCCATGCTTTTTTAAATGGACTGCAGGCCTTGGCAGCCACAAGCTTTTTGGTATTTGTAGGCCATCTGCAAATGGAGGTCTGAATGCCGATGGCTGTAAACCTGCAAATGGAGGTCTGAATGATGATGGATATAGATTTGCAGAAAACAGTTGTTTTTGTTGTGATATAACACGAGCTCTTCCAAACAGCCTTTGTGCTTGCAGGTAATTGTGGTGCAGGTCAACCCAGGGGAAACGTTTACAATCCGCACAGAAGATGGTCACATTCAGTGTATTCCAGGTAAGAAAAACATTGCTTTGTCTCCCTGCAGCCTGTGGGGTTTTCTCTGTTCACTGCTGCAGTGAATGAGAAATATATGCCAAAAAACGTGTTGTACAGCTTCCTGGAACTCTGAGGCTGCTACTTATCAACGTGCTGTATTCTGCCTGGGGCTGTGCTATATTTGATCTTAGTGACACCTAAACCACTATTGGTTTTCTATGTAAAACCAAGCTTGTGAAAAAATCATGTTTACTATAAAGTGTGATTTCCTTCCAGGCAAGAGAGCGGTGGCATTCCCCAAACGTAATTTCATATTTTATATTGGCTGTTTTTAAAGTCGTAATAATTTTTTTTTTATTATTATTATTAAGTTGACACTAAACTCAAGTGTTAAATCTTAAAAATGCATCCAAGTACCTTAACTGTTAACAAAAACAAAGGCTATTTGTGCAGATCCTCAAATCATCTCTGAATTGGTGCTAGCACTGTCCTTCCGTCTGGAGGGTCGCTATTTGTGTTACCCATGGGCCCTGTGTGTGTGTTGCAAAGTAGCCACAGCTCCCAGCTCACTCCCATGATGGATTACAATCTCAATACAAATTTATTAAACTAAACATGAGATTATAGTCTATCATGGGAGCGACCTTGGAATGGTGGCTACTTTACAACACACAGGCACCATGGGGAACAAAAGTAGCCACCCTCCAGAAGGAAGGACATTGGGTGTACCAATTCAGTTGATTTGAGAATCTGCACAAATAAGCTTCATTTTTGTTAAGAACTACGAGGCGAGTCATTTCCACTTATCCTCATAGTTAGAGCCGACCGGTGACAAATAAGCTGTCGCATGTCGGCTCTATCGATCGGGAAGTGAGCAGAAACATGCAGCCGATCCGCTCACTTTTCAATAGTCTCCCTGTATTGAGTGGTGACAGTCACTGCTCCCTGCAGGGATTCCCTCCCTCTCTGATCCTCCAGCGCTTAGTGGAGGAACGAACAGGGAGTGGGCAGGGCACAGCTGGCTCTGCCTCCAGATAGGCAGATCCAGCTGTTACGCAGCTGGGTGGATCCAGACAGTATTGTCGGGATTCGTCCCGGCTGCGGCACTCAGTATATCGCGGGCAGTAGCCCACTATATTGTGAGCTTTTGGTCATGTGCGGAGGTCCTCCCGTGACCCTAAAGAGAACCATGGGGAAAAACATTTACCCTATAGTTCTCTTTTAAGCTACTTGAATGCTTTTTTAAGAACAAAAGTAGCCACCCTCCACAAGGAAGAACATTTTAAGAAATGTATTTTTGGTTTAGTTTTTTTTCCCATCTGTTTCTTTTAAAATCATTACCATCTTTCCCCATATAATTGTCTTGTTTTTTTTTTTGTTCTTCTCTGTTTCCCCTACAGGTCCAGCACATGTTCCCATGATGTCACCAAATGGTTCCATGCCTCCGATCTTTGTGCCACCTGGTTATGTCTCTCAGGTATGATTTGTATTACTTGTATATTGCAATGGGATTCTGATTGAAATTCTAAAACCTGGAGAGCTCAATCATTCTAATAAAAGTTGTTTGTCTGAGTTGGGGGCTCCCCCAACCTCTCTGCACAGTTACCCATTGGAAGGGGCAGTCTTTATTATATGTAACTGAAAAAAAATCTTTAAAAGTAAGTTGTTCCTTCAGAATTATCAAATACTTTGATCTGATTCACTTTCGTTGACTTGCAACCAAGGGCCTGTCTAAAACCTCTGCAGATCTTTTGCCACTAATATGATTTGGAAATAGTCTAGCCGGTGGTAAAGATTCAAGGGTCTAATGTTTTCTCACTGACTTGTAAAATGGGAACGTGCTACAACTGCCCAATAAATATAGTGGAAGTCAGCAATTTTAGCTAATAAAATTACAGTTTTAGGAATTTAAGCATAAGTTTAAAAACTTGTGTTTTAATTAAAATATAGTTATAGTTTTTGTTTAAAATCAGCATTTCATAAGAGGAAAGCTATACTCTTCATAATTCAAAATACCTGGTGTTTGCCTGGGTAGCCTTTAAACTATTAATGAACTCTTGCTTTATGCTCCTTGGTTGGTCGGGCATCAGAAGAAATCACTCCTGTAGCTGAAAAAATAGCAGATTGTCCATTCAGATGATTACCTGAATAGTAGAGATGTTCAGATACCAAGTACCGTACTCGGTACAAGTACAGATACTTTTCCAGCTCCAGGACTAGACAAGAGAAAAATTTTAAAGGTAGGAGGCAGCTGTCATTTTTAAGGCGCACATGGAGCTCCTGGGATTTGTACATCCCCATTTTAAGGCATTATTTTTTAAAAATAAATATATAAAGGGATGCACCAATACAATTTTTACAGGACAGTGGTGGAGCGCCAGAGCTAGGTCCCAGCTGCAACCCTGGTAGTTCTCGTGAAAATGCCAAGTATCGGCACTGGTATTTGGACATCCTTACTGAATAGAATAAGCTAGCCTGCTTTTAAAACTTGGCCCTCTATGTGTGACATGGAGGGCCAATTTACGTAGACTTTGAACCAGGTGTTCACTTGTATTATAATGCGTAGAACCCATTTAAATAGGGAAAAATATTAAATAGGGAAAAATATTAAATTATGCAGAAATGTTCCACGGAGTAGTAAATATATCCATCTATCCATCAATGAATAAACAGTAGTGTTTTTTGCTCCTTTTTTATTTTAGTAAATATTGTCTTCTCCCTGTGTGGCACAGAGGTATGGGTGCTAATAAATGATGGTGGATTTATATAATCGTCTTTCACGGATCAAAGGTTTCCTAATGCCATGTGATGATTAGCAATGGAATAATTTGCTTTTATGTCCTTCAGTGACAATTTCAGCAAGATTTTGGCATAAATAGCCACACCACATCCGTTATTCTTGTTTTGGCCTGGGAGGGAATTGCGGTCATAAAAATTTGGAGCCAAAAAAAATATGTAGCAAGCAGGCTAAGATTAATGGCTATAATTCAAGACAAGAAGCGTCTTCTTAAAGGAGAACTATGGGGTTAAGGCTTTTCCCCATAGTTCTCCTTAGGGTAACGGGAGGACACAAACTAGCGTCCTCCTGTCACCCTAGGCTCAGTATACCACGAGCTGTAGCCTATCTAGAGGCAGAGCCAGCTGTACCCGCCCCCTCCCCATCCGTTCCGCCAGTCGGCGCTGGCGGATCGGAGCGAGAAGGGGGGAATCCAGCCCCTCCCCTTTCACGGCAGAGAGCCGTGACAGGATCGAGAGGTGAGCGAACGCCGCTATGTGTTCGCTCACCTCCCGATCTACTGAGCCGCCCTGTGACAGTCTCATTGTCACAGGTCGGCTAGAACTATGAGGTGAGTGAAAAGCACTCACCTCATAGTTCTCCTCCTTTAAGTAACCATGCAAAGAACAGTAAAGGCCTAACCTTGGCAATTGGGAACATCTATTTTTATTACTTTGCCCATCCTAACCAGTTAAAAGCAGAGTTTTGACTGGTTGCCTTCTTAAACAGATTATACTTACATGTCACTATGTTATAACTTAAATATAAGTCCACAAAACAGTTTAACCCTTTTGATTAAGAATAGTGATGAAGATTTTCAAATAGTTGCATTCTCCAGTGGACAGCTGTCCATCCAAATATAGTTTAAAGAGTACCAGTCGTTTTTATGCAGTTGGTCCTAAATTATAATACAGGCGTACCTTTACAGTTGCTTCGCTGTCATTTGCATACATATCTGCTGGTTTTCCTGCTATTTTAATATCAAACTGAGCCTTATAGTTTTATACATTCCATTATGTTATATGTTTCTGGAACCTGATGTCTTGCATAGCTAAACCCTGCTCTGTCTCCCACTTGTCCAGTAAGAGTTCCATTACTGGGAACTGAGATAATTTGATTATTTAGTGGCATGGCATTTCACAAGACTTAGTCTGCGTCAAGCCACCGTAACAAAGTGGGTCTAAGTCTCAATGGGATGCAGAAGAAGTTTTTCTAGCTATTAATGGCAACTTCAGGCATCTTATGGTTCTACTTTTAGGCAAGACCTTTACTCAAATGTTCAATGTTTTTTTAGCGTTCAGATAAAAAAGTGGTGGCATATATTTCTTGAAACAGACTACCAAGGAAAACCGAACTTTAATTTTGGTAAAAACGGATTCCTGCCTTTATGCAAATTGGCAGAGTCTAATTTTGATTAAACTTTTAACTATTTTGTTTTCAAACTAGGGTTATGTCCCTGTTGTAATTTTAGGACTATTTAAATGGAAAATGTAACATTGTTGGGTGACCCATTGTAACACACCAGACTTTAAAGTATATCTGTAGATAAACTTTTTATTTTTTATTTTTTTAAGTGTTGGATTAAATGGGGAAAAGCTAGACCCTCTGCCAACTATGTTGCACAACACAGTTGATTTTATAATATTGAGGAAGTGTGTATACTTTTTGGGTAGTTGCAGCTTGCCGCTGTAGAATTTGGGAGTTAGATCCTAGTGTGTTTTTTTTTTTTCTGTTTATATAAGACCTTTTGTCAAGTTGCTGTCTGTTTCCCCAATGCTGAGATTCACCACTCCATTTATACTGGTGACAATTGACAACACCTGAACAAGCGGTAAGGGGAAATATTCCATTGAAGCTGCCTGTTTGGGGAAAATACCCTCACTTTTCTTCTAACTTCCTGTAGTGTCTTCTGGGACAGGAAGGGAAGGACATTTTCTCCAGTGGTACACAGCAAAAAATGGTCTTGATTTTAATAACTTTAAAAAAAGTGATTTAAAATTATTTGTAATGTATGTAATAACTCAAATGCAGGAGATCAAACATTTAAAAAATGTAAAAGTCACATAAAAATTACATTCACCGTAAATACCACAGTTAACAGCTCTATATATGTGCTTGCTAAAAGTACATTACACTTTTCCTTTAAGTCCTCATTTTTGTTTTACTTTCATAATTCTGCAGGTTGTGGAAGAAAATGGAGTGCGTAAGGTGTTGGTCTTGCCACATTCAGCAGAGTTCCACCCATCATTACACCCCCATCCGCCTCACGTGACACATTTTATGCACCACCACCATGCTTTGCTTCCTCACCCTCCACATCACGTCTTTCCACAAGTGCCAGGCACAGGAGAGCTGCCACCGCAGTTCATACACCAGCACCCCCCACCACACATTTTCCAAGAACAAGGTACGTATTTCCATTACAGTGTGATTGTTTCCTTTTGTAAAACGTTCTGCCTATGTATTGCTTTGTATTTTTCAATGTGTCTATTATATTTAAACTACTTTTCCCCCCATATCATGATAATTCACTTTGCTGTTCCCTTTTGACCTTGCCCATTTTTTTTTGGGGGTGGTCTGTGCAAAGAAAGAGTAGCTCAGTTCGAAGATTTTTAAGGAACAGTGCAGAGAACTCAAAGGATCAAATGATGTGAGCAGTGATACAGCACTTTTTGTGGATGAGAACATTTTATTTATTTATTTTTTCTTCTACTGAATGCAACATAGTTTTTTGGCAGACGCAGTACCTCTTCAACAATGGGATTTGTAAAAACACCTAGTGCTTCTATGTGCATAGCAAACACTGACTGCTGGAATCATCTTGGCCTAACTGTAGCTTGTCAGTTCAACTCACAGCAGCCTCAGGAAAAGCATTCCAGCATAACAGCTGAACAAAATAAAAATATATATATGACATTTATTTCATATGGATAGACATCATGTATTGAAAATTGAGTATCTGTTTAAATTAGAATTTGCTAGTGCATCAGTGAACTTTATTTTTATACTCACAGGGGATGTTTTGTGCTAATTTTTTTTTTTATTATGGTGTCTGTCTGTGCATGTATCTGTGTGTGTGTATATCTTTCGTAGGATGACTCGGTCCGAGGTTTCTATAAGACTGTACAAACCTTACAGCAGTACTAAACGCTCATTCATTTGTTTTTCAATAATGAATCAGGTCCTTAACTTTATGTTGAATACATGATTACATTGGGCAGCACAGTCTACACCATCTGTCCATATGCTAGTTGGGAGGGAGGAAGGAGAGCAGGGCAGTGGCTTGCCTTGCTGCCCCCGTATGTTTGTGAAGACGCACACAGATTGCAAGTACGGACAAGGATGGTTTCATTGGACCCTGCAAGGGAAAGGAGCCACCCTATCACATGTTATCAGAGCCAGTGCTTATGCTGGAACCTAAAACTTTAAAAGGAGAGTGAAATGCACCCATAATTAGAGCCGACGAGTGACACTGGAGCTTTCAGGCGTCGGCTGCATTGATCGAGAACTGAGCTATCACATATTGCTGAGTTCTTGATCTTCTCCCTGCAGAGAACAGTGACTGTCAGTCGCTGCTCCCTGCAGGGATTCCCCCCTCTCCGTTCCCTGCAGGGATTCCCCCTCTCCGTTCCCTGCAGGGATTCCCCCTCTCCGTTCCCTGCAGGGATTCCGCCCTCTCCGTTCCCTGCAGGGAATCCCCCCTCTTAGTTCCTCCAGCACTGGCTGTGGGAAGCAGGTGGGGTACAGTTGGCTCTGCCTCTAGTAAATGTCCTGTGATTCTAAAAAGAACTATGGCCAAAAAAGGTTGGGTCATAGTTCTCTTTTAAACATCAAAGAGCAGCATCCATTTTAAGTGATTCAACCAGCATTTGAAATAGCTTATAAACGTTTTGTCTTTAACACTTTAAGGCACGGAGCGTCTGCTGTGCTCCTCTATAGATCATCTGTAGTGCTCTGGGAGTACTTTGTAGTGTACTTAATGTTGTTTACATATCGGAGACCCTTAATAGTTGGAGGTCCCAGTGATTAAAAAAAAAAATCTGAAGGTAGGCACTGCTCGTCTTTCTCAATGTTGAACGATACATTTATTTATGTTGCTTCAATACAAGACCCATGAGTGCCTCTTCTACTGGACCATTTGCATCTACTTGGCTTGCATGCACCCAGGCAGTTTTTACTCTTGTCTGAGTGCGGTGCCCACTATTGGACATCATTAGGGGTCTCTGATGTGCAAATGTCAACATTTCCTTGTGCTAAAGAGGGCTTACCTTCCCCACATGAGCATTCCTTTTGGTTTATCACTATGATGGGCGGAATTACTGTCCAGTCGGGAAGTGTGAGCGTGGCTTTGCTATGTTCATATTCGGCTTGTTTGCATTTGCACTGTAACTGCAGACAAGGTGTGTGATCAAGGAAGGCTGCTTATCCAGATATTGGTTTTCTGCATATTAAAAAGAGCTCTGCTACACTAAGTTAACTCTTGGAGAAATGGATCACAAACTGTTTGAAGCAGGCTGTCTCTGCATAGGTTTAGCTAAGCCCCTCTTGACACTCTATCCTGTTGTTCCTGACAGCCAGTTGTAGAAAGCAGAATGGGCACCTACAAAGCTCATTGATGTATTTGCTCTCTTGTGGTCTGGAGGCACTCTCCGTGCTCTGTAGCTAAACTCCTGCTTCCAGCAGTTATTAGTGATGCATTAAAAAGCTAATGTGTTTTAAAAATACAGTAGTCATCATTTCAGTTTTTAACTTGCAATTTCCTTGACACTTAAGAGATAGGAAATACAGACTGATTTATACAGACTGATTTATGAAAACTGGAACAGGTGCTGTTTCCTGGCAACACTTTTTTGCTTTAATTTTTATAAATCATCTCTCTAAGCTGTAATGTACGTTGGTTCCGCTCATAAAATATAATCTCCTTCTGTGTTTCATAAATGTCAGAGTTGTATTATTTTTTACATGGTTTTCGGTTTACTTTTTTCTTTTCCTCTTTAGAACTTCGGTCCCATGGAAGAATGAATTTTCCTCCAAGGGATGAGAGAAGCATAAAAATTAAACGGTTAAAAGAGCGACAGATCAGCTCCCACAATAACAGTAAACTGCACAGTCCACCCTCCTCTCCTCACAAAGCACACATTGCTACCAACTCACACATGCAGAATGGATACTCGAAGGGACAGCACCTTACAGGGGGACCCATTAAATTGAAACAAGCTTCACGGACACGGAGCAGTCCTCCAGCAGAGAATGAAAGCACAGGTAAGTTTTTTTTTTTTTGTATAATACTGCCTATGTGTGATCTGTAAGATGTCTGCCGGTATTAGCAGCAAACCACTACAATATTACTATCCACTGCTAAATCACTTGGACTTTTGTAAGTACACCTGTCACTAGAGAAATATGGGTGCCACTTTTGTTGACTTGTGCTAGAAGTTGCTAGTTCTCTGGCTGCCATTCTTATCTACTGGCTCAATTGCTGGTAAATGACTGAATAGGCATCCTTTTATTGATGTCAGATGTTGCAAATTGCATGCTTAGGTGGCAGTGGCTTACAAAGTATTAAGCAGTAGGATGGGCTTGATAGCCAGGGAACCTTCAACTGCTCTGTAGAATAATTGTGGCATGAGCAAGCACACATTTCTGTGGGATACGTATGCTTATACATGAGGCACACACCACTACTGTGCCAGAATTCATGGCTAAGCCATCTCATCCCTGCCATCTCCCTGTCCAACAAAAATAAATAAAGGGCTGGTAAATAAGGGCTGAGATATGGAAACCAGAGAACATTGGAGCAGTGATGTTCTTTTTCTATGTTTTCTAGTAATTCAAGATGAACTCTTAGTGATTGTGGTCCTAATGGGTAGATTGTCCTTCAGATCCTGGCCAATGTCATGTGAACAGTATGTAAAGGGAAATTTCCCAAATGGGACACAGTAAAAATATCTGACAAAGGTTCTAACTGTTAAATATTTTATTGAAAAGAAAGCAAACCGTTTTGAATAGAGTTATGATATTGCTCTAGTTTTTATCCATCTACTCTAGTATTACACCTTCATATAAACCTGTTTTTGTTTGTGTCCACTACACAATTGTTTCTGGTAAATGAACTCTTATGTACCTCACTGATTGCACAGCACTTGGCAACAATAATGCAGGATGTTCAACAGGACATTGTCACCGCCATCACGGAGGCCCATAAGGAAGTGTGGAATGAGATTTTCAGGATGAATTATTACTCATGTTGAGCAATACTTAGTGTTGCATCATTCCTGTTCATAGTATATTGGAAGATTATGCAAATTCTGGTTCCCCGCAGACTAGAGAGTAACATCTGTGCTTTTTACCCATGCACTGACTGTATAATCAATACCGGTTGGTGGTTTCCTAAAAGCCAAGGATAAAAATAAAGGCACAAAACAATCTGCACCGGAAGGCATATTGTGCATGCATGTGGTTAAAATATATTTTTGTGCTTTGTTTTTTTCTTAGATAGAGAAGCAGATCCGAAAAAGCTACAAGATTTAAACCCCAGCATGAGCAAACCTGTGGTGAGTATGTTCTTAATTTAAATTCAGGAGAAAATGCACCTGTTACCATTACAGTCATAGCAGCTATTTTGGAACTTGATGATGTTCTTGATGATGCAATGGCACCATTAAACTAGGGCTAGTAACTTTACTGGGTGTAAGACACATAGCGTCTCATGCATCTTTCTTGAAAAAGAAGGGAAAAAACAAAAACATTTAGCACAAAAGTCAAATGGCTTCTTAAGACTACTAATCCTTGTTCTTAAGACCAGATCTCCTAGTGTAGAGTAATGTTAACCCCAAAACGAGTTGAGATAATTGTTAACCCACTACATATGGCTTCATTATCTGTTTTAGATTGAAACCTAGCCTCATGGCGGTCTGTCATACTGACTCAATGTGGTAAAAAATATGAAAAGAGCGCCAAATAGAGATATCATCCATTTTTATTCATCGTTTTGTTGGGTAACTTGAAGCCAAAGCATTTCAGGGGTTACAGAGAGGCCCTTCATCAGGGCTAAGAGAAAAACATTTTTTTGAAACCTAGGGCCTAACTTCAGTTTGTGACTACAACCTTTGCTACATATTCGTATGATAAAGCAAAGAACGATATCTTAATAGTAGTATTGTATATACTGCAAAATACCTTGCTAGAAGTATACCTTTTTATATATAAAACAAACAAAAAAAAATCACAAGTGCTGTATATAACATAAAACATTGCTGAAAACAGATAATACAGAGCTCTGAACAGATTTAAAATACATTCAGTGGGTCGCTGAACCAATTGTCCGGCGAGTGACCATGATAGTGCACTTTATATCGATACAGTGGATTATGAGAATGCATCCAGGCTGTCTTAATGAGTAAATTTTGTGTGCCAGTACCCTGGAGAGCGATAGATATATAGATAGCTATATCTGTGTGTGTGTGTAATTTCTTTCTATTTTATATATTGCGTATATATAATCGGCACACCCACATCATTCTTTGGGATTACATGATGGAGCTTCAGAAGTGGAATGAATACTGTTATATACATTGGATGACAGCATAAGGGTTGGACAAGCAATGTTTTATTTTGATAACTGTATGGGGTTAATGCATTTTTATTATTGGTATCTAGCCTGTCCAGAAAAAGTGACCGATCTTGTACAAAATATGAACAC